CAACTGCAAGAAATGATAGACTGATCGTTAGAACATCGGTTGAAACGCCAAACATGAGTTCAATAGAACTTAAAAACGAGTTAAATTTGGCAATTAGTCCTCAAACAATTAGAAGACGTCTTAATGATGTCGGATTATACGGTAGAGCGATGCGAAATATACCATTCATCTCTATAAATAATCGAAGAAAGAGGCTGGCGTTTGCTAAAATGCATATAAAGTTGCCACTCGAAGTCTGGAAACCTGTACTTTGGACAGATGAATGCAAGTTTTAACTCCAATTGACAAAGAGAAGAAGAACGGTCTTCAGAAAAAAGAATGAGGAGTTTTTAATGCAACATATGATAACAGTCAAGTTTAGTGGTGGGTCGGTGATGCTGTGGGGTTCTATTTCATGGGACGGCCCTGGTATTATTGAGTTGATCAAAGGTAAAATGACCAAAGAAGTTTATCTCGACATTGTACAGCAAAACGTCTTTGCTTCTGCGGCAAAATTAAGGATCGAGGACGATTTTATCTGGCAGGAGGATAATGATTCAAAACATACAGCAAAGATTGTCAAAGATTTGTTCGCTGATCATGAAATTTTTAAATTCGATCGGCCTGCTCAATCGTCAGATTTAAATATAATCGAAAATATATATGGGAATACTTGGAAAGGACTATTCCTGAAAACGAAAGAAAGTTAAAAAATGACATGTTAACAACAGTCAAATGTCATTGGGAAGAAATTGACATTAATTTCATTCAGAAATTAGTCTTTTCGAGACCAAAACGCTTGCAAGCAGTTATCGATGCTAAAGGCGGACCAACAAAAGATTAAATATCTTGTGTTTGCATCAAAATAACAAAACTATTTTGTTTAAACTTGTGTTCTTGTTGCTGTCAACAAACTTTTGAGCAGTACCTTTTTGCGTTTTACCTAATTTTTTTTTGTTGTAACGTTAATCGACTGCTGTTCTATTTTTATTTCAAATATTCTTTTTGTTTTATATAAAAATAAATAATTTCTACCCATAAATATCTTCTCTTTCATAAAATAATGCCTAAATATTCACTTTTTTTAAATTTCAACTGACTTTTGAGTGTCACTGTATATTATATTTATACATAATATATATATATTTGTATTTATGTATATTTTAACGCTTTAAAAAAATATCAAGAAGTAGTTCAAAGAAATCAAACAATAGGTAAATTTTATTAAACTATATAAACAAATGCTATGCAACTAGCATATTGGCAATTTTGATTTCACTTTTTTCTTTGCCTCTTTTTAAATGTTTTTAAGTTATTATTAAAAACCGAATCCTTTGATAGTTTTTGTTTGTTTTTAAAAAATACATTAACAAGAATTTTTGTTGAAAACATGATTACTCAATTTTCATGATTTTCACAAACAAATTTGCTTTTTGGTGCGTATTTATGTAACAGATATATTGATGATTTAATGACTGGAATTGATAGAGATGAAATTTCATTCTCAATTAAATCTAAAATAGCAAATACACTGCAAACAAATTCTGCAAGCTGTTTGGATGGAACAAATAGTCCACCACGTGACAAGAGAGATAGATAAGAATTATTTTCAAGATCAATGTCTCCACCTTTCAAAAATGCTTTGCAATTTTCACATTTAGACCTTTTTGACAATTTTTTTGCAACATAGCCTGCTATAGTTATTGCCACTTCTTGACTATTATAATTAAGGGAACTTTCCATAATTTCTTCTATTCGATTTTAAAACAGTTCATCAAGTATTGTCAAGGAAGGATGAATATCTGGTGTTAGATGAACTTCTCAGAATTTTATATGCTCCTTAATTAAAGAACGACATGACAAAATTCTTTCTGAATTTAAAACTTCTCTTAAACTTGCTTTCTCTTCCCCCACTCATTTGCCTGTATTGTGAGAAACGTCTCTCAATTGGATCACTTTGTAAATGAGCTGTCATTACGTAATCATATCCATCATTCAGGAGCTCCTCAACTAGCAGTGCTTGAGCACGTAAGGTATTTACAAATGCTGATGCAGTTTGAGTTGTGAGGGTGAATGCAGGTGAAAGAGATCACTGATTGATCCAATCAGCCAGAGCTTGGTAAAAAATCATTTTATTGTCAATAATATTTGGTGAAAACCTTTGTTTAGAATTAGCAATAGTCCACCAAGTGTTAAAAATAGTTAAAAAACTTGAAACATCTTTTCGATTTGGATAGTAGCTTTTTGAAGCTGCAATTGTAATTTTATGTATAATTGCTAACGCAAGTGGCACACTTTGTTTATTATTTTCAGGATGTAATGCCTCATATGTAAGCTTTGGAGCTTTTCTAAGTTTACCTTTCAGATCATTATCATTGTGGTAAATCTTAAACAAATCATCCCAACTAATATATCCTGATGAATAATTTTTGACTAAATGCACGCTATCATAAAACAAATATGTCTTCTTTCCGTGATTCTGTCGGTGAATAATAGAATACTTTAATTCAGACTTAAACATTGTAACTAATGATGAGAATGCATTAATGTTAGTGGAATGATTGTCTGTAACTATACCACGCACAATGAACCCAGCACCTAATAGATTTTTAAGATTGTCAGCTATTTTTTGTGATTTTTCCAGAGAATATGACCTCTGGAATTGCTTGAACAATAAAAGGAATAGATTCTTTTAGTCCTATTATCATAAATGCGACAATTCCTATGTACAAGTTACCTTCTTTGTCAGCACCAACATACTCTCCTCCTTGATATTGTGCTGTTTTTTGTAAATACATTTCATCTATAATCATAATACAATCAGGAGAAATTTTTCCTTTTTCACGTAGAAGTTTTAAAGATTTTATATATGTCTGTTCATTAAATACTGTATTATAAAATACAACACCTTTTAAATTAAAATACAAATCGTTACAAATCGTTTAAATTGAAACCCTGGTGGTGCTCTGCTTCATTCAAATTATGTACATTTGTAATTGTATCATTTTTCTTAAACATTTCTAACTGATCTTTTTGGAATATTCTTAATTTAGGAAGACATCGAGAAGTTTTTAAAACTGGCAAAGATGATTTTTTTTGCAAAATTATTATTAAAAATTATTAAAAATATTCTATTTTTTTTTTTTACTATACGCTTTACTAGAGTGTTTTTATTTTGTTTTGAACACCAGTGACAAATACAGTTTTTTTGTATCAGATTTGCGTCTCCTAAAAAGCAAAAAAAAAAAGTCCTCCATTTCTAAGATATTTTAGGATTTTCAAATTCTAGTGGGGGGGGGGGGGATTGCATACCCCATACCTTCTCCCTCCTGGATCCGAATTTTTTCCTTATTTCACTTGAGCTTGACATTTCGGTCTAGTCTTTGATGCATACTTATGCATTTTTTAAAATATATCTTTCTTGATTCCTTGATAAATTCCTCGAATATTTTGAATAGGCATTTCGGTTTTAAAGTAGACATGATTTTCGTAAATTTTTAAATACGTTTTTAGTAACGTCATATAGTGATATTTTTTAGCGACTTCCAAAGTTTTTATCGTCATTTTTGTAATTTTTAAAACATCCGAAAAAAAATCTTCTTTTCATCCGAAAAAAAAACAAAAATATATATATATATATATATTTTCTTTATTTATTCTATATTTATATTAGGTTAGCTTTTTTTTAAAATGGAGTTACGAATATAGGCTTGGTTACGAATATAGGCTTGGTTACGAATATAGGCTTGGTTATTCACTCTTGACAGGTCTTAATTCTTGAGTTATATGCAATTGAACAATTCTTCAGCTTTTTGCAGTACTCTGGATGACCCAAAATTGTTTGCATGCGTTTGCTTTAGCCCAATTAAACCTGCATGAACTAATACAGATGTTTATTCATTTTAAAATTCTCGAGGTTTTTTATTTTTTTCCCCTTGAGTTCATGAATTTTTTGCTGGGTGAGATTATGCCTTTTAGGCTGATTAATAAACTCACCTATGTGCTTAATGATATCATGAACGGTAAGTGTAATTGAAATTCTGAGGATTTTGTATGATTGTATGGGATTCTGAGGATTTTGTATGATTATATGGGATTCTGAGGATTTTGTATGATTATATGAGATTCCTAGGATTTTGTTAATTTTATGGGGTTTTAAGGATTTTGTATGATTATATGGAATTCTGAGGATTTTGAGGGCTTTTGTATGACTTTTATGATTTCTCAAAAAAAAAATTGAGTCTGTTTCAAAGAATGAAATCTTAATTTTCAATTTCTGTATTATTAAATTATAATTCATTATTCAAATAAAATGTATTATAAATGAGTTAAAAAAAAAAGTTGATTATAAGGTTAGACAAGACTTTTTTAACATAATATTAAATTAGTTTTAGTAGCAAACAGTTTTAATTATTCTAACATTCTAAATCTACGATTGTGTAAAATGCTGAGAGTAAAAACAGAAAGTGTGAGAAATGAAATAATTTTTTTTTACTTTAATTTTTATTAGTAAACGTACTTGTGTACAAACAATTAGTAACATAAGAAAATATTATGCTTGGCATTGGCAAATCCAGAATTTCACTTTGATTTGGAGCAAGGTATCAACTTTAAAACCTTATATTATTTAATACTAAAGAAAAAAACTCTGAGTGCAAACCCCAAAACGGGATTTGTAAAGTGACAATTAAAAGAAATTTGGGTCAGCAAAATAACGTATTTGTTTTTTTACTTAAGTTGTTTTTAATCTTACGTTTTTTAAAATTCTTTTTAATCTGTATTTAAAAAGAAGTTTGCATAGTAAAAAAAATTAATTTTAATAATTTTTTTGTCAAAGCCAATTTTCTGCCTACGGCAGTTTATTTTCAAGCACATAAGTTAATATTGTAAAACTATAAAATAAATTTGTCAGTTTGATAATAAATTGAACTTTATTTGTTTTAGCTTATGAACATGTCTTAATCCAGTTTTATGAAAGTTTAAATTATAAACTTTAATTTCAAGTTTCAATTTGATCTTACCATGCATTTGCTACCATCATTCATCTCCAATGCACGGCAATGGGATTGACAACTTAAAAACTTATCTCCACAATATTTTGCATAAACTGTTTCAATGGATGTTTTATTTACACCAATGTACATTTCGAATTCGTACGAAATAGTAACACATTGTTCTTTTTTATTATCGCATTGTTTCAGATATTGGACTTGATGACAATCCAGTTTGTAATAAGAAGAACAGGTAAAACATGAAAAGGTGTTACCTAAAAAATTGAAGATATTAAAGTATATATATATATATATATATATATATATATATATATATATATATATATATATATATATATATATATATATATATATTCTTAGATATTTATTAATATATTTTTGTCAATACCAAACAATTTAGTTTAAATATATTTTCCGTTTTAGTGAAATTTATTTTAAAAGATTAAGAAACGTACATGCATTTATCTGCCATAATAACAATAACATTGTTAATATGGAATTCATTTTTGTTTAATGAGAAACGTTTTAGATCATTAATTTTTAGCGTGAGATGAAGTTTGAGCAAGTCGAAATAGAAAGTTGTTTTTTAGCTTTTGAAAATGAATAATAAAGGAAGATAATTCATTTCATAAACACAATTGCCTACTAAACTTAATTTTAATGAGGATTTTTTATTAGGAGTGTGAATAATTCATAATACTATAGGAAAAATTTTGAACAATTTTATTTTCAGTTTTATCCTAATTTATAGATTCCTTGTAATAGATTTATTGTTATCTAACATTTATTGTAAATGAAAATATATTGTGTTTAAAAACTGAGAAAATGAGAGAAAATAATAAAAAAGTTTATTTGTATTGACGAGTTTCTCACCCATACAAATTAATAAAAAACCCATCAATACAATCAAACTTCCTCATTAGAAGCTGCATTTCTGCGGCGTTCCATGACAAGACCGTTAGGTTATTTTGTGTTACCATGAAAACTGAAACAAAAAATATTCTGTTTCAATTAAGCAGAAAAAAAGAACCACATCTTGGTTATGATGTTAAAGTCAGTTCTTAAAACATACAGCTTCTAAGTATTTTTTGCATTTCTACTGAGAAATCCAAGGGAAAAAAGGGCACAAAAAAACTGTCATAGTGTAATTCGTATCAATAAAAGTTGTGAAGTTGTATTTGTTCAGTCATGAATAATAGCTTATATATATTGCTCTTCTTAAAAGAGCATATGTCATTAAGGTACGATTACCTACTGATGATACTTGATGATATCAGCTGTCTTTCTGTTTCAAAATCATAAAATCATTTACAGGTGGCATGTCTCCTTTTTCCAATCAAGCCATCAATAATAAGGAGGCTGAAATACTTGTTTTGCATTTTGTCAAAGTTCATTTTAAAAAGTATTGTAATAAAGTTAAATATTACACGTATTATTTAAGAAAATCGTTTCAAATCAGTTTTATGCTCAGTGCATAAAACTGATTTCATTTTCTTTTGCTCTTGATCAGTCTGTTGCCGGTTTTCCTAGCCCTGTTTTTTAAAGATATTTTCTTGTTTTCATTGAAACTTTTGGAGAATGCATTAAAACAATCTTTTCAATTTTGTTTTTGATTTCTTTTTTTACTGCACAAACTCTGATGTTCTTATCTTCATGCAAAAATAATTGAATTCATCATTCGAGCTCCACGCCCGGTTCTTTAACACAATTATAATATTTATTTTGCGTTACAGAAATTTATTGACCTACCAAAAGCTTTTGATACGGTCGATCACCATATTTTGATTTACAAACTCCAATGCTACGGATAAAAAATAAAACTTTAAAATGATTTAAAAGTTATCTATCTAACCGAAAACAATTTGTACTATATAACAATGATTATCAACCCACTTTTCTTAAAATAACCTGTGGAGTCCCAGAAGGTTTAATTCTTGGACCTCTCCTTTTTTTAATTTATATAAATGAATTAAATAAAGCTTCAAAACTGACGAGCATTATGTATGCAGATGATACAAACTTATTCCTTTTTAACTATGATATCGCTGAACTTTTTAAAACAGTAAACGAAGAACTCAGACATATATCTAATTGGTTCAAGTATAACAAGTTAACCTTAAAAACTAATAATACAAAATAGATTTTATTTCATTTGATTACAAAAAATTGGTTTCTCCCATCAAAGTTTCTTCAAATCTTTATCGATCAAAAGGAAATAAAAAGAGATTTTGTTACAAAATTTTTAGGTATTTATTTTAATGAAAACATTACTTGGAATCACCATATAAGCACAAAAATTTCATGGAGATCAGAAAACATGGAGATAATAAATCACAAATCTATCTCAATAAAAAAAGTCTTAATCCAACTTTTTTACTTATTTATACTTATTTATATTTTTTTAGTTATTTAAATTATGCCAATAATGCTTGGAGAAGTACAGAAAAAAGTTAGTTGCAAAGCCTTTATCTCCGTCAGAAACGCGCATTCCGTATAATCAATTTTGCAAATCGCCTCTCTCATTCAAAGCATTATTTTATTGAAATGAGAGTTCTGAATATACACGAGTTAAATGTATTTAACATTTTATATTTTGCATATAAGTGGATAAATAACTTATCCCTAGCTATCTTCAAAGATCTTTTCTCTTTTAAACCAATGAGTAAATATATTTTGAGAAATAATATTTTTTTAAATGAACTTTTTTGTCAAACAAACTTAAATCAATTTTGCATTACCTATCGAGCGCCACACCTTTGGAAAAAAATTGTGTTGGCAAATTTTAATTTTGAAGTACCTATTACTTCAGGGGTGTGGAGTCGTAAAAAAAAAGTAACAACTCCGACTCCAGTTATTGTAACTTTTTAAACACAACTCCGACTCCGACTCCGACTCCGACTCCGACTCCGACTCCAGCTCCGACTCCAATTCCGACTACGAGCAAACTTTTTGAAAAATTCTTTGAATTTTTTAAAGAATATTACGCGACAAGTTAAAAATTTCTTTTTTGAGAAATTTATGAAACGTTCTTTGAGGTTTAGTATGAACATACGGTTAATTGAATGTTTTGTACATGCACATGCATTACCGAAAAGTTTTACTATTGGAGTTGGAGTCGCTATTTTGTTTAGCGACTCCGACTCAGCTTAAAATGTTGCAACTTTGACTCTGACTCCGACTTCAACTCCACAGCATAGTATTACTTTTTGCCTTTTAAAAAAAAAAAAACTGAAAAACCTCATTCTTTCATGAGATAATATATTGAGTTATTATTAGTAGTAAAGGTTGAAAATATACTTTGAGCTATTTTTTTTATTGTTTATATACATATTTACGTTTATAGAAGTTTATTTCTACTTATTTTATTTATTGTTCTTATACTTTTTACTTTTTAATTTATATGTTGGTTTACTTTAGTATAAAATTCTCATGAGAAGATCCACTTGATCTTTCTTTAGACACAGATTATTTGCCTTTCAATTTCGTAAAAGTTTATTAATATTATTTTTTTTAACCGTATCTTTGTTAAATGCTTATTTAAGATTCTGACGACAAGATCTTTACGATCTTCTTTCATATACATTGTTTATATTTGTTATATTTTCTATCATTGTAAGTTTATATTGATATTTTTATTATTGGTTATTTAAAGCTGTACAACGATTAACCATATGTAAACCAAAAAAAAAAAAATGACTTGTTATTAAAACACGGACTGAGTTCTTGATGTTTTCTCGTATAAATTTCAAAATCTAATTTAAATAACAAAGTAGATTTATATTTTTGAACGGCATTTTATACCTTTCTACGATTTCATAATCAATACGGCAGCTCTAAGAACACAGCCGGTTATAACCTCTGAAAATTGAAGGGGTTCAAACTTTAAATGGTAATAACTTTTGAACACTAAAAGATTGTACTATGAAATTTTAAATTTATTGATTAATATGAATTTAGCTTGGGATAGTTAAAAGAAGTTATCAACTTGTTGTTCTCACGTTTAAGGCAGGGGGCAAAATTTTGGGGCTTTTTAGTTAGCCTGAGCTTCATCCGTCATAATTTTTTTGCAAAAGCATACTTTTTTGACATAAGTATAAACAGGTAAATGTTTTGAGTTTGCTCCATGTTTGAAAGTCAGCATCTCAAATACCAAAAAGTAATATATTCGCCCCCTGTGATATTTTATATCAACTTATTATGCTCTGATTCTAAAGTTCTTAAGTAAGAAACTTGATCAAGCATTTACAGAAATGACGTTGAAGCACTTTAAGTGATTTTTGATTATTTTATGAATAGCCAATTCATACAATAATCAAAAACAAATGATCAAATGATTTTCTAAATAAAATATGTACCAAGTGTTCAAAAATAAGAATATTTTGCAAAAATGAATATTGAATGCAATATATATTCAATTTTAATATATATTGAATTCAATTTAGTATATCTTGAGTGCAGTTTAAAATATGTTATATGCGATAAATTTACCTAATATCAATTATATCATAATTTTAAACTCTGTAATTTGGCTTTGTAAATAAAAAGTTGAGCAAAAAATAATGCTAACTGTCATAGAAGCTACTGGTCTAACAAAAAAAAAAAAGTAAAATTTTTGTCATGAATAATAAATTTCTATTTTCATTAGATAAATGAATTCTATTTTAATAATCCGTTAAACATTTTAATAAAGTTTGCTTTATTCCAGTTGTAATCATTTTCTTCAAGAAAATAAATAGCTTGAGGATATGACTTGCTTTAAGTATGTTTTGAAAAACATTATAAAGAAAAAGTTGTTGTTGATGATGTTGGTTTTTTTTATTCTTATGAAAATAATGTTTCTTTTTAAACTTGAAAAAGGTACTTTCATTATTTACATCCATATATATATATATATATATATATATATATATATATATATATATATATATATATATATATATATATATATATATATATATATATATATATATATATATATATATATATATATATATATATATATATATATATATATATATATATATATTTTTTTTTTCTACTATTTTTTTCTTTATTTTTCTACTTTTTTTTTTCTTTATTTTCTTTTACCTTCTTTTTTTTCTTTAATAAGTCGTTATTTAGAGCTACTAAAAGCAATTTTTTAATGATGTTAATAAACGTTCTTAGCAAGTAGTCGAAGGAAAATTGAATAATTTACCTAGAAAGCATAATATAAAAAGTATAATGAAATGAAAATTGCCTAAAATGTTTCAGGACTAAACATTTACCACTAAAAAAAGAATTGTATACTTAAGAAATGTATACTTTGAAACTGTACTTCAACGCCTCATTTTTATACGATGACGCATATACATTACATTCAGATTTATTTAAAAGTATAATATTTTGGCGTTATGCCTTTTTCAATATTTAAATATTTAAAAACCGAATATTACGACAGCGAAGCAATAAAAGAATAACTTTCTCTAAAACTTCAAATTAATCAAATAGAGTATAACAAGCAACAATGGAATTATTATAATTCTCTTAGGAAAACTTTTGTTATGAAGAAAAAACTTTTTTTTAGTATTCTAAAATTTTTCAGCAGTCTAATTTAATCAAATGTCATGACATGAACCAAAATAAGAAAAATTCAACTTAACCAAAATAAAAAAAAGAAGCTTAAAATACGAATGCTTTTAAATAAAAGTAATAAAAATTTGTTAAGGGTATTAAGTATTATGTACGCAAACAAACATTTTCTTTTTAAAAAATAATTTTTTGTATTTTTATATTCGTTTTCAAAAAAAAAAAAAAAAAAAATACAGCTGAAAATCCAAACAACAAAAACGCTTGAAACTTTAAATATAACCACTTACCTTAAAAAATATATATACATAAGTTTTTGAGAAGTTTTAAAAAGTATTCTTAATTTATTTATAACAAACATATGAAAATTTTATAAATATAATTTTCAAATCTTTTATTACCTTACTAATTATTAGAGCTGTAAAAACTTATTTTTTTGCACTAAAAAGAATTTTTATAGGTGCTCAGTAGGTATATAATAAATTTTAAATCAATTAGCCTTGGGTTCTAAATGATGAATTTTGCCTATAAATCACAGAAATGACATTGATTTCACCATACCTTGAAAAAACTTCCCCCACCTGAGACAGTTTCATATTTAACCATACAACACATAGCAGCCCAAAGGCTATTAATTATAATATGTCAACTTTATATACAATACACATGAGAAATACATAAGAAATACACTGTCCTACAGCATTTGTAGTGATGTTAATAATCTTTCAGATTTGTGTATTAGTATTAATAAATTTACAGTTAAGATATTTGTTTGTTCTGCAAGAAGAACGAATGTCCCCCATCAACTTTACAGCTCTCTCGGCAACTATGTTGGTTCGAGGCACATCAAGCACTGATGGTTCCTTCTTCCAGTAGGTAGAGAAGCATTTCACAGCTTTGGAACACTTAAGTTGGGATATTGCTGACAACAGGTCTTCATAAGCCGCCTCTGCATAGTGCTGGTTTGAAAACCAGGCCCGCGACCATGTAGTTGCAACGAAATCGCAAGTTATCCTCAGCTGTTCTCGCCAGTTTGGAAGAATGAAAAATGCAATAAACGCAAAAGTGCCTCTTGAGTTCCACCTGGCACTGTGCAGTGATGGCAGCTTGTGCCATTTGGTACGAGGTCATTTTTCCTCTTTTTTGTAAAACTTGTATGCTTCACAAAGCTGAAAAAGAAATTTAAAGTCATCTCTCCAGCCAAGGTTCTCATACTCTGCTACCACTGCTGTGCCCTTGTAGGCATTTTTTAAATCATTGTAATGCTCCATAATCTCATCAATAAATTTGTAGTTACTGTTAGGCGACTGTGATTGTATAGGAAAAAAGAAATCCAACACATGTCGTAGAACAAGATCAAGAATGTGGTTTTGGCAGCCGATGTATAGAGGTTCATCAAATCCCTTGTCTCGAAATGTTTTCTGAAGCTTGGCTACAACTCCATTCTTGCGACCAGTATTTACAGCTGTTGTGTCAGAGATGATCATCTGAATACTGTTCCATGCATTGTAATCATCAAGTAGGTCCTGTAGTGGTTTATATATGCTTGCAAATGATCCACTGTCACAAACCAAAATGCCAAGTTGTAATGTTCTTTTGTCATTTTTCAAGCACACAACTTGGTACTCAGTCTTGTCAATTTTCTTACCATCCAAATGCAAAGAAAATTTCTCTTCAGAGATCAGTTCCATGAAGCGGTTCTTAACTTGTTCTGCATCTCTGATTGTTCGACGCCAGACTCCAGACTGTGATGGTGTTGGAACAAAAACTCCATCCTCAGCCAGACTTGGAAGCCCCCGTGACGTTTTTCTGGTTGACAAAGAGTGACTGGTTGACAAAGAGTGACTTGGCAGCAAACTTAGTTGACTGGCGTGTTGCACGTTTTCTGCGAGATTCTCCTGAAACTTCCTCCGAGTCACCACTGCTGCTTCCTTCCTCAGAATCCTCACTATCGCAGGAAAGTGGTACGGAGATAACCGCTTGGTTTGTCGAAGGTTCTGATGTGCTTTTGGCTTTTTTTGATGGATGGATTGTTGACATAGGAGCCACTTTCATAGTTGTATATCCCACCCTGCCATCTGATTCAATTTGTACTTTGTACAGTTGTTTGTCCTCACTACAAAGCCAATTTCCATCTGGTTTTGTTATATCGAATAGATGAGCAAGATTTTCTTCAAATATTGCATTTGGTCGCTTTCTGTGTTTCTCAAATGATGTCATAAGTTTGTAAACATTAGCAGACACTTGTTGTTTGGAAAGAACAGGAAAATTAAACTTCTGCCAAAGATTCATCAATTCCTCGGATATTTTTGTTAGTTGATCATGTCGTCCTTTCAATTCATTAAAGAGTCCCAAGAATCTTCCAACGATATCTCTGTTGGAAGGCATTTTACACAATTTGTCGTTCATATCCTGTTTTACCTGTGGTATATTAGGACGGCGCTTCGTGCTTGATTTCAAATTTTGTGTCCATATTTCACCAGCTGCTTCCACTGCTGATTTTGACTTTTTACTTTTAAGGGACATATTTTCAAAAAGAAGCACTAAACAGCAGATCTTGCAAATTAATACTGCAAATAATCAAAAAAAACTTTTTAAATACTTCTACTCAATATTTTAATCGCGCGAACTTTAAAAAATACTCAACAACAAACAACAACAAACGCGCATTAATTTGAAAAACAGTCGTTAAAATTTGTTATTCAAAATTGAGTTACATAACATAAAAACAATTTAAAACTATCGAACTTTTTCATTCTATGTTAATTAACTTTTTAAACTGTTTGACGCTCTCCAACTTGTAGTTATATTCAAGCATAGTCAAGTATAGTCAAGCATAAGGAAGTAAGAACTGGGAACAAAATCAAGTGAAAAATCGAAAAAGTTAAAAGTGGTGAGGTGCTAGGTGCGGGAGGTTTTTTTTGTGATCCAATGAAGTAAACCTCAAAACAGTGATCTATTGGTAAAAGTTCATCAAATGCAACATCAGGAAAATTAAAATTTTGAAAAAAGTTTTTTTTTCATATACCTAGTGCTCAGGTAACAGTAATTTTATAATGGGAGTTAAACCACACTTGTCCTAACGGACAACTTTTGGAAGTAATATCTTCTGCTCTTCCCTAAAAATATTCTAGGCTTAGTCTGCACACAAACTATATATCAATTTACAAACTTATGTGCAATATTTTATTTTCCGAGTTATCTATAACAATAATCTATAACATTTTAAGAATAACCTATAAGACATCATATAAATCAAATATTACTTTAATAAAAAATTAGCATATCTTAAATTTTGTGTGTTTATGGCCTCAACTCTAAAGGAGCAAATAGGAAGCTCAAAACACTAGTTTAAACCAAAGACCGGTCGGTCATCCAGCTAGAAATTAACCATAAAAAGTTATTATAATTAAAGATGATTATTTAGCATAATACAATTTTTTAATTTAAATTAAAATAGTTTTTAAATATCTTAAAAATTAATAACCATATACTAAATATAATTAAACTTTAAAGAACGATTTCAATTAACGTAATAAATAAATACAAACAAAATGATTTATGCTGCCCACGTATAAAAGATTAAATAATAAATAATTTCATTTTTTCAAATAATTAAAAACAAATAGCAACTATTTTTGTTTCATTAACAACTTCTTTCAAGATATTTATTCATTTATTTTTAGCTCTGGGACTTCAGTGTTACCATTGTTCAGCATCCAATTATAAAACCTGCAACGAATCAAGTACAATAAAAGAATGTCCATACAGTTCTCGATGTGTTACCTTGTCAGTTGAAATGTACAGAAAATCCTTGAACGTATCAACCCTTTCTCAAATATACAAAAGGAGTTGCGCCGTTTCTAAATATGATAGCTGTGAAAAGAACTGTAGGTTCTATAAAAATATAGGAAACTTTTGTGTGGCAAGTATTTGTTTTATTTTTACTTATTTTTTGTAAAATTTTTGTAAGTTTAGGTTTTATTTAAACTTGCAGTAAGCAACCCGTAATACGCGTTGTTAGTAAATAAAATTAATAAAAAAAAAAACGCGTATAGAAAAGCCTAGAATCTACTTTAAAATAGAAAACCCTAGAAAACGACGTAATTCGACTAATAATATTAAATTAGCGTATTAATACTATCAGATGTTTTAACAGGTAATACTTTTATTTGGTGACAAAAGATTGAAAAATACGTAAATTACACTTTAGACAAAAAAATTTCAGAGCAAAATTTTTTAGCACATCAGTTAATACTTAAAAAAAAAAAAAACGAAAAACATTTAAAAAAAATTATATTTATTTGAGCAGAAAATTGAAGATCTAATGCTGGTTAAGTTGGTTGTTACCACAAAATTTCTCAGCTCTTTCTCATAATGTGAAAATATATCCTAGTCTCAAACTGCTTGGAGAAGAAAAGCTTAAATGTTATCCTGAAGGTGTTCAATTTACTGACACCTCAGCAAAGTGCTCTTTACAAAGCATGTTGAATCATACTATTACCAGAATAATTGATATGATTGATTTTAGTGAATGTTTTGAAAAAGAATTCAACGGAATTTTGTATGTAAAAATAGGGTTTGGTGGAGCCTCAAGACAAAGCATATATAAACAAAAATTTGATATCCATAATGATACAGAAGAGATAAAACAAGAAAGTAGTCTATTTGTCACAGCTATTGTACCTCTTCTGCTTAAAGTTGAAGGTATTGACCTTTGGAAAAATTCAAAATGTTCTAGCTGCCACTTTTGTAGACCTATTTACCTGCAGTATAAAAAAGAGACTTCACAATTGTGTAAAGAAGAGGCACGCGACCTTCAATCTCAAATTACTAAATTAAAATTTTTCTCAGTAGATATAAATTTTGCTGGTTCAGTGATCACTATAAAGGTTACTTTTATAATAGATATGACAATGTTTGGCGGAAAAGTAATCAACTCATTGACTAATACAAAATCATCCCAGTCTTGTAATGTGTGCAGCTCTAAACCTAAAGAGATGAATAATATAGATTTAGTGAAAATAAAACCTGAAAATAAGAAAACCCTTAAATTTGGTTTTTCAAATTTGCATTGTTGGATAAGATCATTCGAGTTCATATTGCATTTAGGCTATAAAATGGAAAACTAGACATTTCAAGCCAGAACTATGAAGCAAAAGCTTTCTGTAAAGTTAAAGAAACAATTAGTTCAATCAATGTTCAGAGAAAAGTTGAGTCTCATTGTCGATCAACCTAAGGTAAGGTTTTGGTAATAGCAATGACGGAAATACTGCAAGAAGAGCATTTGAGAACTCTGAGATTTTTTCCAAAATAACAAGGGTTGATATAGAAGTCATAAATAGAATGCACATTGTCCTTATTACAATATCTTCAGGGTACCATATTGACTTTGATAAATTTGAAGTTTACTGTATTGATACTGCTAAAATGATTGTTCATAAATATGGTTGGTATGTAATGCCACCAAGTATTCACAAAATACTGATACATTGTTGTTCCATTTCAAAGCAATTTGATTTGCCTATCATTCAATATTCTGAAGAAGCTCTAGAAAATCTTAATAAACTAATTCGAAATGCAAGGTTGCAGCACACAACAAAAATTTCAAGACTTAACACTATGAGAGGTCAGATGATCCACTATCTTTTTATTAGATCGGATCCTAAAATATTAGGCATTTCATTTGCAAAGCATATGGAGTATGAAGGGAAGGCATGGCCTTCAGATGTACTGAACTTATTAATATCTTACAGTGTGAAAAATATATCATATTTAGTTTTTAATAATATTTACAAGTGTTTTTATTATTATTTACTAATTTTTTGCAAGTTAAAGGTTTTACGCTTGCTGCCGCGTTCTAACATGCACGTATGACGCGCATAATCATGCATTCGTGTGTGCATTAATTTAATGATAATATATTTTGGCTCATAAAAGTTAAGTTTTGAAATGTAAAATGTTGTTAAAGTCGTTAAATTTCTCTAATGCGTAAATGATATATACGCGCGTATATGCGCGCTGTACGGGTGTTTAAAGTATTCAAAAATAAATTAGATCCATATTCGAAATTAATGTGTACATTAACTTAATGATAATATATTTTGGTTCATAAAAGTTAAGTTTTAAAATATAAAGAGTTTTTACAGTTGTTAAATTTCTTTAACGCGTATATGCGCGCTGTACGGGTGCTTAGAGTATTCCAAAATAAAAAAGTCCCAATTTTGAATTCCTTGACCCTAAGAAAGCCTATTTTGGTGTATAATATGTGCTTAATCTATATTTATTTAAAAGTTTGCTATTTTTTGCCGCTTTTTACTCAATTCGCTAAATTTGTATTGCTATTTTATTCAACAATATAAATTTTTTAAAGTTACGCCTCTGGATTGCAAAACTTCCATAATTCTTGTGCTAAATTAAATTATGCCAAAATTTAATTTAGCATAATTTTATTAAAAATTAAATTATGCCAAAGTTAAAAACAGCCTAAATTAAAAGATAGTAAGTCTTTATCGCGTGAAAAAAAGTTCATTAAAAATAAAATTTCAAAATATATATGTTGATAAAATATATTTTTACACAATATTTGAATGTTTAATATTGTAACTATATAAAATTAATTACATAGAAATATATTGATATCTAATACTTTTAATTAATGATAATAATTTAAACTGATATTTTTATTATATCATGTTCTATGGTATTCTATATAATTTAACCATATGTTTTATTTATACTGTTGAGGCTATTATACTATTATTTAGGCGAGCTGTTGTGCTACTAATCTATGCAACTCAAAAGAAATAGTAATCCCTTCTTTTATTCATCGTAGAAGTCGTTCATCAGCCATTTGCAACTCCTCAGTTTGTCTAATTGATTTATCAATTGTAGTTTTTCTATTTTTTATTAAAGAAAAGATTTAAATTAATTTAATTTACTAAATGTTCAAAGTAATCCACTTTTTTAAGCAAGACCGTTGCTGGTTTAAACCTAATTAACATTAAAATTAGCAGTTAAATAATTAGTAATCAAATGTTAGACAATTACAAATGAAGGACAATTACATAACGTCATTTATTAATTCAAAATTTATATAATATTCCATAAATGGATAACTGAAGGCCCCCTCTCCCTCCACACACTCATTTAAATTCAAGAATAAAACATAAAGTATAATAAACATGATTATAAATTGGAGTTCGTAAACGTTTAGTGTTTTTGATTCTTTGAATAAATATTTTTAATATCAAAAACATTTTTCAAAATAAATTAAAGGTAAAGGCGTTACAACTTATTTTTATCGGTACTTCTTATTTTTATCGGTACTTCTTATATAGCTATAAATATATGGGTAGTAAAGTTAAAATTCCTTATACTTTAATAGTATGTGTATAACAAGCGCTTCCTTGTCATTTCATGATCATTTCCATAGAAGATGAAATGCTTTTTTATTTTTCAAGCTACTTTTTTACTGCATGCTTAGGAAAAATCTAAAAAAAATGTTGTGTAAGCTAACTAAGTATTCTTATAACAAATCGTTTAAAAACGCTTACTAATTTTTTTAATAATTATATAACAATATATTGTTGTAAAATTAGGGTTGGGCTTACTCTAAAACATGGACTGGAAAAATCATGTTACCGTGCTCATTATATTATACCAGCCTATTTACAGTTCTTTTTTAATGTCTTTGAATATTTATAGAGCATTAAAAAACAATTTATAAACATTAATTATATTGTTATATGCATATAACTAATGAACTTAGTATGTAATATACATTTTTGTTATAAGGCACATTCCTTTGTATTTAAAAACTGTAATGATGTAATACATAAATAATATAATATAAATGAAAAAAATCATGTTTAATATCTTCTTAGGTATAATAATCTAAACTATTAAATTTTTTTTAGTAAAGAACTGTTTTACTACTACATCCCTAATGTCGCCGTCTGTTAATTTTTCCTAAATCTCTTTATTTAAATTCATTAAGCATCCAAATTGTCTAACTGTCTCATTATGCATCCAAATTGTCAAGTGATAATCGATTCTGTAAACGATTTTTTATATAAATTAATGTAGAAAAAGCCTTTTCACAGCCTACTTTGGTCCAAGGCAAAGTTAAGATATATTCATAAGCCATAAATAAATGCCTGTATGATTCAACACATAATCTGTACTTAAACAATACATTAAAACAATGAGTTTTTGTTTTGCAATTTTTATGTTCAATTTCATTTTCTTCCAACTATAATTTTGGTAGCTCTGTTTCTTCATTTGTATTATAGCTTGTATAAATTTCAGTTAAAATGTTTAAATTCATATCTTAAATTTTAGTAAAATCTTGAAAATAATATCTTAAAACCGTTTGATTTTCAAACTTTTTCAAGTACTTTTACAAATTTGAAAAAGGGGGTTTTTGGTGTTATTTTGAAAAATGATGAGGTTCTAAAAAGTCTGAACATATTTCTGAACGTTAATCAAAACTTTTCTCAAGTTTAGAAATAACTGTATCTATAGCAATGAACATTAGATTCTTCAAGTCAATAGCTTCAATACAAGCGTCAAGCTTGCATCGACTTTAGCGGAACGTGATCTGGGCGTCATGATCACGCCAGACTTCAAATAGAATAATAATCCAGACTAAGCAGTTAATAAAACTAACTATGTTCTATATATGCACACTCAGCAACAACGTTTGTACGTCCTCATCTAAAATTCGTGGTAGCAGCCAGCAATCCATCGTCAAGAACGAATGTTTATTTAATTGAGAAAGTAAAAAGATGAGCTGCCCGTTTAACACCTTCATACCGTCGACTATTATACAAATATTGTTTGAGCCTACTAAATTTAATTTCTTTAGAAACACGTTGAGTTAGGAGAGAACTTATACAAAATTGTTAACAAGATAGACATTGTCTCATGGAGTGAACCCATGTTCGTTGCGTTAAGGTGTCAAATCCAATACAAACTTAAGGAAATCATCTAAAAATGATAAGAGAATTAGCGCAAATTGCGAGCAAACTCATCAGTCTTTTCACAAACCGAGTAATGAATTATTGGAACGTGAATTATTTCCATCAGACATTGTATTCGCTATATCTGTTAACAGTTTCAAAGCTCAGCTCGATGCAGAAACTTCAAATTATCCGCATAAGTGAAATGAAAATACTAAAAAATGAATAAACTAAATGAAAATATTAAAGTACAACATACTTCATACTAGGTTTCAATGTAGTTTTCATATATTGATTTAAATGTAAATTTAAATCAATAAATAAAAACTTATATATTGATTTAAATTTATATTTAAATCAATTATTTAATTTAAATATAAATTTATTATGAAGTAGATAAGGCTAATTATGAAGTAGATAAAGCAGCCATAACCTAAAGGTTATACCGGGAAACCTGTTACAGTATTTTAATACTACTACTGCTGCAACAAAACTTATTTTAATCTACTTATTTTAATGTACATATTTTAATCTAACTTATTTTAATTTAATTTACTATGAGCAGAAAGATTTTATCAAACAGTTGCAGTAATTAGAATAGCATATGTCAAATACGTCCGTAAAATAAGTACAACTAATCACTGTTTTAATATACGGGAGACAGGGGCTAGTTGGCAGCAGGGGTAAGTTGACGAGTTGCATTTATCTGCAAATTCTTTCATCAAAAAGTGCCAATAATTTCAGGAAACCTTCTTAGTTGACCATTTCATCTTTCACTGTAGTATTGTGGGGATTTGCGGATGCGCATAAAAGATATTGTGACTTATGTGTTTTTTTTTTCACATTTTTGTAACGTTTACAACTTCTTTATTTTTTCGATTTTTAAAAGCAATTTCATCAAGTACACGTAAACTTGATTTGAGTTATATCTTGCATGGTTCAGTAAAATCTGTCTATATATATATATATATATATATATATATATACATATATATATATATATATATATATATATATATATATATATATATATATATATATATATATATATATATATATATATATATATATATATATATACATATATATACATATATATATATATATATATATATATATATATATATATATATATATGAATAAATCTATTGCGGCGGTAAATTCCACCAATTTAAGCTAGAAAATTTGCTAGAGTGGCGGTAATTTATTTAAGATGAGACAAGAGACGTAAAACGAGGCAAAACTTAGTGAAACACAACTTAACCTGTTAAAAGATGGACTTACATAAAGGCCAGTGCTTTAAGACCTCAGATGAAGCATGTGCATTTGTTGCAGAATTTTCAAAATCTCATTGGCATCCTCTGCGCCAAAGAAATAATGTAACAATTGTATAACAAGAAAGTGAGTGTGTAACATTTTAAGTAACATTGACTGATCTCTGGAAAATAATTTTGAAATTTTTCTGTGTTGAACTAAATTTGGTACGCAATATTACTTCGTGTTTATCAATGATATTGCTGCCTCATATAGATTTAGATCGTATACTTATATAGATCACCTCTTATAGTATAAGTTAACAAGCTATAAGTGAAACTAAAGGTGTTACCCCCTATATGATATAAGGGGTAAAATCGAGAGTTGAACTCCAATTACTGAGTAATGCATTACTCAATAATTGGAGTTCAACTCTTGATTTTGTCATTAATGCCTAGACCTAAATATTAATCTAGGGCAGACCTAAATATTAATCTAGGGCAAAATGCTTTTACCACAGTTCATTTTGTACCCAAAGGCAACTTTTTCATACCCAGCTCAAATGAATTTCTAAAAAAGGTTTTTTCACTCCACCCTAATACACATTGTGAGTTAAAAAAAATTAAAACTAATTTACAAAGTAAATAATATTAATGTCAATAAATACAACAAATTGGTTATTTTTGACGTTAAAATTAAAAAAATAAAAATTATTTTTGACAATTTTTACAAAAACAAGATTTTCCATACCATTTTAAATACTTTTTTTGAACATCTTTATACAATTTGATGCTTCATTATCTAGGGAGTTCCATAGGGAGGTTGCTCTATATAAGTTACTTTTTAAAAACTAATTTTTAGAGACTATGGTTGGGAGTACTAATTTTTTACTACAGCGAAGACTTAACGGCAGGGATTTTTTGATAAAAAGATCTAACAGAAATTCTGGATTTAAACCATTTATAAACAAACATAAACTTTAAATTTCTGAGGTGGATACTTGGGTTATTTTCTGTTTTTTTAATTCCTTCTAATGGGAGATAAAATCTTTTATAAACAAGAGCAATGCATTTACTATTCGCTTTTCCACACAGACTGAATGAACAAAAGCAAACCATATGTTCACTTTGTAACCATATGTTCAATATGTTGTAAAGTTGTTGTAATACAGCTTACACCTTTAAAGTATAAGAAATAGAATTAAATAGACGAGCAGTAATTCGAATAACGTATCCGTTGTTTTTTTTCTGTCTATAAGCGGTTTAAAGTTTGTTATTTAAACAATTTAAGTTTGATTATCCAAGTTCTTTTACAAGTCACGCTATTTTTGCGGTCAACGAGTTGTGGAAAACAAATTTAATATTGATTTTTAATTAATACGATTGGTTTCACAGGTTTAGATAAAAGAACAATTAGAAAAATCAAGCATTGTTGTAAACCGAAGTTTGAGCTTAAATTTTTTTACATAATTTAATTAAATAAACTTTAGTTAGCTTATATGTTGTATATTCAAAAAAAAGTATAATGGTAATTTTTTCTTTATTAAACTTTGATTTAAATGACACTCAAGCAATATTTTAAGTTAGTATCTTGGTACTTTCATCAAAATAAATTTTTTGCGCGGGCGGTATTTACCGTCACAGTAAAATATACGTTTCATCAATTTACCGCCACTTTAGCAAATTTTAAAGGTTATTGCGGCGGTATTTACCACCACTT